TGTGAGGTTTTGTGCAAAACGTGTTGAGTATCACTGTGTATGGACATTGTGAAAAGTAAGGTCACTGATGTGTAACTCTGTATTCACTCCGGTACCCTTAATGTTGGAGTACAGGTCATTTCATGATAAAAATTACAAAATTTGTTTTATTGTCTGATGCTGATTAGCCACACAACGTAACACTTATCAAGAGTATCGATACTAAAAATATAGTCCAACATTTTTTCGATATGATTCACAAATTGTTCATATATTGTTACAATTAGTACGTTCTTACTTACAGTTTTGTTCGTTCTGAGTTACAACATTCATAAAATTAAAGGTCGAATTGGAAATGTCTACTAGAGCATTGGAGTAGAAGGAGGTACAAATCGCTCACAGCCAATGGTAAATTTGGGTCATAAACTGACTAAGACCATAGAGTGTTACATATCTGACTCTGGGCCAAGAAACTATTGCAGAAGGTTTCTTACTTACATGTAGAGTGTAACTGTGTATGCACATACAGAAAAAGCAAGGTCACTGATGTGTAACTCTGTATGCACATGACCCTTAATGTTGGTGTACTGGTCATTTCATCATAAAAGATGCAAAAATATTACGGAAGTCTGAACTGAATTGACATAGATCACAGTTGCATGTGACTGTACAGCTTCCACTGCCGTGACAAAATTGTTGGCCTGAAATGCGTTGGCCTTTGATATTTTAGCATATTGTGAGGGTCTTGCGGACTATAAAATGGCGCCGCATCAGTTGTATATCCCTCAACAACAAAAAATTTTTCGTCCACCTTTCATTACTGCTAACACTTTCCATTTTATTCCACTTCACACTTCCCATTTCATTCTACTGAAGGGTGGCACTGGACTCGTGTATGAAATTTATTATTAGTAGTTTCAACCTCCCTCTAACTTCAATTACAATGCCATCAATAGAGTGTTCACACAGAAACCAAGATCTTGGGCACCAAATAGCAGCCAATGGGTTGCATGATATTCGAGAAGATCTCGCTAATTTAATGAGATGTTCGAGAAGGTCTCGCTACATCAATTGTTTTGAAGTTTGAAACAATCATCTCTATATTCTCATTAGACACTTAATAAAGTGTTTAAGAAATTTAATGTGTCCGGGAGAGGAATTATTATTTGTGCCTTGGGCAATTGTACAAACAAGAGCAGAGAAAAGGTTCATCGGATGTTAACTAGTTGTAGTATCACCAGTTGTAACATCAGGGAATATCAGTAGTTGTAATATAGCTCGATTGTAATATCACAAGTTGTGATATCACAAACTGTTCGTATATAGTTAGAATTCATACGTTATTAGTTATGACTTTGTATTTTCTTAGTTACAACGTTCAAAATTTGAGATCCAAGACATACCTAACACTCAGTCCTATCACGTCGAGAATATAATGAAATGACACAGCATGCAGTTGTTAAAGGTGTTCAAAATAAATGTGTACTATGCATGGCACGGATATTCGCTTTCATATCACACAATAACTAAATATAAATGTGATACTATTTATATCACACAATAACTAAATATGTTTATATACATACACATATAAACGTTCTACCCACCATCTGCCAAAAAAATTTATATCTCTTTATTATCTCCTTCCCAATACTTTGGCATATCATCGTTCTTTTCATCCAACCGAAAAGCAATAGGTCTTAGCATAGTCATGCAACCCACTTTCGAAGGATCTCATACAAGCTCATGATCAAAGGTTCGGAAAAAAAGACGGAAGGTATCGTCGGGTCCAACCAATGCTCTAAGGAGGTACGAAACACCAGATAAGAGGATTTTATATGGTGCCAAACGCGATTTCAGGAACGCTCACTTAACACCAACAACTCTCTGGGACTAATTGGCCACATTTTCAAAGATAGCGTCAACGAGCACCTACCCTCTGATAATTACATTCTGGAACATGAACCCATGTGAGAGCCTATTCGTGAGCGAAGAATAGAATTAGAGGTATTTTGTCGCTGGCATAACCTTCACGTCCCGAAAACACGCTCAGCGGAGCTTGTTATAGGACCAGAAGTGAATGATGCAAGCGTATTATATAGGCTACAGCGAGAAGTTATGCAAATGGAGCGTAGGCTACACAGGTTTTACGAGGTTGAGACCGCAAAAAAATATGCTATTGAAAATGATTTTGATGTCGATAATATTTTAGCAGATCCCATACTTATATCCGACCCGGACCTATCTGATTTTACTGAATCAAGTGACGATGACTTCCAGAGGTACATACCCGATTGTTTAATGCATGACGGCGTTCCCAAGTGTTGTGTGGGATACGACAGATGACGAGAGATATAGTCGGATGTTCGTGAAGGTAGCAAGAAAAAGTTTAATCATTATAATCTCTACTTTAACATTTTTTCCCCTATTTGTTAAAAATGATGCCTGTTAAAGATCTATCACTAGTTGTAACATATTGTAACATATACCTAATTAGTTGTAACTCATTCTGTACACTTCGTTACGAATATTTGTTGCATTATAAAACTTAGTTTTAACAAACGGAATTAATTGTCCCCTTGTACTATCATGTTCTTCTGCGAAACTATTACCTTATTGTTGTCGTGTGGTTACTTGATCATAATTCAATTTGGAAGATTCTTGTAATACCTATCGAAGTGCATGTAATACATCATGTCAATGGTGCGAACCATTCGTTCTAAAAATGTAATCCATATGTAGTGAAAGCGTAATTTTTTTGGTGACTAAATGGCACATAATAATTCAACAAGGCATCGAAACAAAATAATGTTCTAATTTGTAACAGACGATTGCTATATGATATATCTAACCATTCTAAATGCTATCCATGCCAATAAAGAACGTCAACGATTGCAGCTGAATGTTGGACAATGGTATATATATATAAAATGACATTATTTTTGTTATGGTATTCTATGAAAAATACCATAATCATAAAGAAGCACGTTCAATGGTATTGTTAAAATGTTACTCTAATTTTCAGTCAACTTTGTAATTTATTAACAACTTTATATAATCCATTACAGAACAATTGATGACTACTAACACTGGACATAATTACAATTGTAACCCACTTGTCTAAGTTTGAACAGAGTGAAACATTGAAGGTGCTTATACAGACACATGAATAACTTGTAACAACTTATTAACAGCTTGTAACGTAGATATGCAGCATTCCCAACTAGACCGACATGGAGGTCTAATAACAAATGTTCGTCAAAAAACATCGCAAATCTCGTTCAAGACAACTAATGTATGAAAATAAAAAAAAAAACCTAGTGAGTTACAGTCAACATGCAGCAATTCATTTCAAGATTGTAGATTAAAAGAAACTGACAATAGGGAAACAATTGAAACTGAATAATATCTTCAACAGAGAAATACTAACATCAATAAATGAGGGCAACTTGGTGAATGGATAACCGGAACTCGATAGTTTGGTCAACCATTTAATGTGTTGTTCAAAAATTAGAGGTACACATCATTCATCAACCTGTCTCTAAGGAGAGGTGACGTCAACAGTTAGTCGCAATCCCTGAGTGTTATTTTTTTTCTAAAATGCATAACGATGGCAAATCAGCTAATACACCTAATGAAACATATGGTTAATAATATACAATGTCCAAATATCCAATTAACAATACTACATAAATATGTGATGTAACGATAAAAGTTTGTCACCTGCGATGATGGTGAAAATACATAATATACATCATATCACAGGGTATTGAAATTGCAGCACGCTACTCCTACATTATATAATATAACTATTCAACTGTCAACAAATCATTACCAGTGCCTGTATTGCTCATTTCAAAAGCTAAATTAGACTAGACATTATAAAAAAAATGATATATCAGACCATTAAGATATCTCTGATGGAGTTATGCTTGAAAAAAATAGACAATTTGGGGTGCATCCATTTTGTAGGGACTGTTGCAGGAGGCCCCTGATTAGTCAAATGATAGACCTTTGGATAATACAAAACAATATATCATAGAAGCGAGCATACTTTAACTACATAATATACATGCTTTGAAACGTTCAGGTGCCCACAATTACAATCAGCAGAAAAGTAGTTGTACGATACGAACAATAAAGTCTTTATTTTTTCAACTAAATGTATGCATACCATTTCACTTTTCTTGATTTCGGAAATAACAGCGTTTAGAGGGTCATTCACTGACTGGTTCCTTGAATACATCTACGAGTTTTGAAAGGTCAAATAATTGTATAAGACAGACAAAATAGGTATGTCAGCCGTAACAAAATTATCACATAATGTAACATCCATGTAATATACTCGTAACAAAATAGGTATGTCAGGAGGGACGACAAGCATAACAAAATTATCACATAATGTAACATCTATATAACTAATTATGCTGTTAGAAAGCCACGACCATTTTATACTAATCGAAACTGAATCAATAGATGAACGGCATCCCATAATGTGTTCATCAAATTCAATCGATATCGGCTCCGATTCTGAGACTTGTATTATTGACACGACAATAATATTATTTCATAGTGAATGGTAGTTAAACTTTAGTTAACGGTAATATAATAAGAATATTTTCGCATAAATGTTTACCATCATAAAAATTGGATCCATACCGTAATCTATGTAGTTCTTGACAATCTAGATTTTCTTTTTACTCTATCAAATTTATCGACCCAATTTCGCATCACTCTGCTTCTCTTCCCACCGGCTCATTTTTTAATACCTCTTGCGATTACTGCCTCTTCCATTTCATTTACAATTTCAATTTTATCACGTTTCTTCACATTTAGATTTTTATAATTTTGCGAAGGTTGCTCTTCATTTTCTGAGAGAAAGAGCTCAACTCTCTTTGCCAAATCGGATATGACAGTGATTACTATTTTACTGGTGTCCTCCAACATTGCTGCTCGAGTTGCATGGTTGGAGTGAGCTCCCGATAACGAGTTGAAATGATTACTTTTGGATCAGTCACAATTTACAGTGCTCGCCGATCAAAACAGTCCCTTGCCCGAACTCTTTTTGTCCATCGCCTCTTAACGTATTCAGGAGAAATTGTCTTTATGCCCACGGTATCAAATACTTTCAACGCGTGCCCACACAAAATTTCATCATTTTCGTATTTTTTGCAACTAAAGCGTACACTTAGATCATTCCGATTGAATACCACTATTCTTTCAGGTCCTCCGTCATATCTCATTACCGCAAACTCCACAAACATCCGCTGTTGTCTCAATATAATCATAGTTGTTGACTCGCCATATTCATTTTGAAAAGTAATAAATACGGTTTGTGAATACATCTCTGCTGCATGCACAAATATAGGTGTTTGCCTCAACCCTACCATTGGCAACTTTTGCCTCATTTCATATTCTGCAATGAGTTTATTATGTCTCTTATCATCAACCACCCGATTGAAATGTCTAAAAAATTGCATAATGTCGTAATCCAGTTTCAAATAATTTTTAATTGCTGCATTTAGGCTTTCGCTAAACTGGGTGCTTCACATTCTCACGGTCCATAATTCTTTCATCATGCATCTTGCCCATTTATCAGGAATTCGATATAGTCCGGTAAGCCATTCATTATTTTTAAAATTGTGTTTCTTCACCATCGACTCCCAGACTCTGTTAAATTGTTTCACTTCTTCAATCTCATACATGCAGGCACCAAACATGTATGGAATGTCACTATTGTCCTTGTAGTGATTGCCAAGATATTTCATAAAATTACGCCTTATGTGAAACGTACATAGACCGTGAAACGTTTGGAGCATGACAAGTGAAAGAGCGGCTGCCATGGCGTGATCTTGATCGGTTAGTATGGTATTTGGACGCTTTCCACACATTACTTCTAGAAACGTACCAAACATCTATTTGAAAGAATATATGGTCTCATTATACATAAGGGCAGCACCAAATATCACAATTTGTCTAAGTTGGTTAAAACCCACAAATACTCAAGTGGCCGGTATTCTTTATTTATTTTGTAGATTGTGTCGAATGTGATTACGTCTCCAAAAAAGTTGTAGTCAATTAACATTCCTTCATCAGCCCAAAAGATATTCGTTATCTGTTCTTCACAGTCCAACTATACGGCATGAAAAAATGATGGATTCTCGAGTGTTTGCTCTTGAAAATAATTCAGCATGCTACCTGTTTCTCCATATTTCAAGTTCCTTTCCCGTCTCGTTCGAAGATATCGTTTAAGATCATCCCGAGCATATCCGACATTACCCATCCCACCTGCCTCCTTTCCCATAAGCTCATGGTTCTGTTTCAATGAAAGTCTAGCATCCTCGCTTATTTCAACTTGGAATCCTTGTACCTCACTCACTTTTCTTTGTAATGGCATCATGTGCGAACATTGAACAATATGCAACACATGGTTATAGTCTAAAACAAGGTTATGCTGACGGTACTTCATTGTCCCTTTAAGCAACATGATAACCATTTTAACTCCACACCCTGTATTCGTCGGCGCTCATGTCCTCTTTGGCATCACATCACCTTAGTACTTACGCTTCACACATTCCTTGCAGCAACTATATCTCCTAGACGTGGTCACGCCGTCTTTGTCTTTATTTAGATAATTTTTGCGTACACTAAAACCCATTTTAAAGGCATATTTGTTGTAAAACTTGTACGCATCATCTTCAATGCTGAACTCCATTCCTAATTCAGAGATCCCATCTTCCGTCAATTTGCTACAATCCATTACTTCTGCTTCTACCAATTATGCATCAAATACCCTAATTTGCAACACTTCATGAATAATATTTACATAAACGACAGCATACATATATATTACCATTCATAATGTGTTATGAATCACACAGTACTCGCATAACAAATTCTATTATTAGGCTTATCAATATGATTAATGATTCACATCACTGTACTTTTACTCTAAGACAACGACATTGTCTATGTACAAATACAACTCCACATACACTAAGTTATACGGATGTAATGTGTTGGTCACTCGATGTAAGTCTATTTTAATTGTATGTACATCCACTCTGATAATTATATTTAGGTTCTAGGTTCCTTAGCTCACTCGACCTCATGTCATTCATTAATTACATAAGGCCTAAACCAACTCCGCATTTTCTACTATTTCTATATTTTGAGGGCCAAACAAGCATTTTCTACTCATTGTAATATATTTCTTACATCATGTAATTTACTTACAACACCAGGTACACCCATTTATTATTCACATAGCTCGGTCTTTTCCTCTGCTTGACCTCATTCAATTCTACACCTCCATTTTATACCTACTGCATGGTTAGGAGAGGGGCAAACTAAAATTGCGTGATGAGTATGGACCAACTATTGGATGCACAATGATTCATATCAATTGTAATACAGTAGCTATAACATGTAACTAATTTACAACAGGATGTACATTCATTCATTTGTTAAATGTGACTTTGTTTCTCTCATCTTTCTCTAATTTCGTTCGATGGTTTAGTTGAATACATATCCCTGGGTCTTCCGATAACTACTATTCAATTATAGTCCATCACTGAAAAATTGAATATTCACACACACAGAGATACGATACACACACATATACAGTACAACTTCACTATTCTTCTATCATCTTCATATTATGTCTTTACTGACTCTAATTTCATCATTCATTTAACAAATGTGCATTTGAGTGACAAATGATTGGCCACAGTTACTGACATGGGTCAGTCACGTTACCATGGTCTGCTAATATGCTTTACGTTTTACCGAACTCGAAGACCGCAGCTGCTTCTGCTATTAAGTTGAAGGACAAAATCTGGTTTCGTGAGATGCTGAATTTCCTTTGTTTGTTTCTGAACGACTGCCTGCCAGCTGCGCATTCAAAATAGATACAACACTCTCATACCTAGTCACTGAACTCGGAGAGCGCAACTGCTTCTGCTATTAAGTTTTATGGACAAAATCTGGCTTCGTCTCTGTTTCCTTCAACCTTACCGTCTGCCTTTCCACCCAATTTTCTCTCAATTGCTACCTTCATCAGCATGCCAAGACTCTTCACTCACTTTTGTTTTCTGCTGCTAATTCAAAATTTCAACTCTTCCGTTTGCTCCGTCTGATCCTGTTTGAAAGTCAACATTTTTTTATTTCGAACGGCGTCGTTTTTACCTCTGCTTAAGCCTTGTTGACTTGGATCATTTCTGGTCTCACGTTTTCTATTGTGAGGAGACCGTTTAGACCGCTCTTGCCCCGTATCCCAAGCAACCCATATGTACTAAATAACTAGGTGGGCCCAGAAATTTTATATGTCATGCATATGTACGTATGTTTGTTGGAATCTAGAACCATTTCAACACTACAATTCAAGACCTTTTGCCCTGCAAAGTTCTATTAAATTTAGATATCCAGATATCCGATTGACACACATAAGATATCATTAGAATCTTGAATTCTAGTTTCTAACAAGATTTACTTTTATACATTAATTCACAGAATTAATTGGCCAAAAAATGCATTAAAGCAGAACTAATTTTCAAACTAAAATTTCAAGTTTTGTTCAAGCATGCGTCTGTCCAACATCATGATCTGCATGCACAATCATTGATACATGTTTACATTCAAACATACTCCTGATTAAGCCAAAAATGACAGAGTACATTTAAATAGATTCTCTCAAATTCTGATAAAATCATACAACGTTCAAACAATTTTGATGAACCTAAACATAGTACAGTTATAATTCCAATTATACAGTACGTATAATATCTTAGGTTTCTGTATAGTTTATACGCATAAAATTTATGCATACAGTCATAATCATTATCCGAATCATTGTCCCAGTTCATATGTAAGAAACAATAAGACCATACTCTATCTAAATCTATGTAACTCTAAGCAGCTAAAAATCATCCAAAGCAAATTCTTTTTGAAAGTTGGTTATTGTCAAGGGTGGATAACCATATGCCAACAAAGATAATATCAATCATGATGAGAAAATTGTATTGAACAAAATTTATGATGCTAAAATTCTCTATCTGAAAATTAAAGAAACTAAGATTTGCATTATTAAGGACGGAGTAAACATTGTTTTGATAACGGTGAATCAAGAAATTATTGGTTTTCAGATCTTGACAAAAATTCGTATATGACGATTCATGCTTCTAAGAGAAGCAATTCTCGTAACACAACATGGTACCTTACAAAATTCATGGAAAGGTCATTGCCATATCTGCTTGCTGTTCTTGTATTGAGATTCTTCGTGGAATTTGAAAACAAATTCTTTTAAAGTAGAGGAGCTTGAAGTGAAATTAGAAGCCTCGGATTTGAGCCCTAATCACAAACCTCAGTTAAGAACCAAGGAAGAGGAAGGGGAAATTCAACTTAAGTCCTCTAAATTCTAAACAATCAACTTTGAGCATTATACTAAGAGTTCCTCGGCTAGATGGTCAACATAGTTTTATTTAATATTTTTACTTTTCATTACTGTTTCCAAGCTGTATTTGTGTGAACGAGTAACACACCAAAGGAAGGAAGGCCCAGAAAAATGAAATCACACGTATGCTAACCCAACAACATGCGCCAGGGCCAAAGAAAGCCAGCTCCGAATCACAAGTCGGATGGAATTTTCGAGGTTTTTACCTCTATCAGATGCTGGATCCAAGGATATTTCAGGTCGGATCCCTAGTTGGATTTGCATCAGGCAGCAATTGACGGTAGCAAAATCTATTAGGCTAAGACTTGGGTTCGTTTGGATTAGCTGTTTTTGGGGTTGTTTTTCAAAAACAACACTGTAGCATTTCATTTTTTAAATACAAGTCCGTTTGGATTAGTTGTTTTTTGAGTTGTTTTTCAAAAATTATATGAAAAACTTTTACTGTAGATATTTTTTGGATTATTTTTAGAGGTATTTTTAAAACATATTTTTGAGTATTTTTATAATTTATAATTTTTATATTTTTATATTTATATACATTTATGCATTTATAATATATTTATAAATATTTATAAATAAATATATTTATATATTTATATAAATATATAAATGTATTATATTATATAAATTATAAATGAATATTATATAAATGTATAAATTAATATATTATAAATATATATTAATATTATGTATAAATGTATTAATATATTTAATATAAATGTATAAATGTATTAAAATTATGTATAAATGTAAAATTAATATTATGTATATTAATATAAATGTATAAATGTATAATATTATATAATACATAATATAAATGTATATTATAAATATACATAAATATATATATTATGTATAAATGTACATTTATATAAATGTATAATATATATTATATATTATATTATATATAATTTATATAATATAATATATATAAATATATAAAAATATATTTTAAATAAAATAAAATATTTATAATATGAATAAATAAATATTTAATATATATAATATACATTAATATTAATTATAAATATTATAAATATTATAAATATGGTGTTTATATAATATTTCAATTTGTAATATTTATTGTATATTTCATTATATAAATAATTATATAATATATAATATATGAATATATAATATAAAATTTTCAATTTGTATAATATACATAATATTGTATATATATAGTATAATATACATAATATAATATATTATACATAATATACATTTATACAAAATTAATATTATGTATGTTATATATTATACATAACATTATTATACATTATTATACACAATAATGTATATAATAATGAAAGTACATTAATAATGTATATATTATAATATAATGTACATAATATATTATGTATAAATATTTATACATTTATGTATACAATATTACATATTGTGTATATTATATTATATTATGTATAATATACAATATTATGTATAATATTAATGTATATAATATTTATATAATATATTTCAATATATTATATAAATATTATATACATTAATATTATACATATATTATATATTAATATAATATATTATATATTGAAATATGTATATTTGGAGTTGTTTTTGATATAATGTTTGGATATGGTGTTTTTGATATTGTTTTTGAAATACACATTTACTATAGCATTTGGAATGTGAAAAACAGTTTTTTAAAAACAGAAACAAAAACAAGGAATCCAAACGGATCCTTTTTTAAAGTTTTTTCATGCTTGCTAGTAAAACGGAAGCGTTTTTATTCATGTCAACGTGGATGCATGAGAGCGTTTTATAAGGGCTTGTGAGGGAAGCATTCAAGGACGGTCCTTCTGATGACCATCCTTGTCCGTTATCATTGTTAAGTGTTAACTCAGTAATTTTCCTATTTGATTGTTTCCTTTTTGTTATACGTTTCTACTACCCTATTTGCTGCTATGAGTTGGTCTTAGTTAAGGCTGTTGTGCTACATCCTTTTTCAATCATTTGAAAATTATTCAACTTTAGTTTATTTGCACCAATTGTTTATGAGTGTGTTCAAGAATTTTATAGATTCTTTGAATCAATTTTTTATATAGACTGCCAGTATATACATTATCACGGTTAGATGCATGACACATATACAGAATTTAAATTTCAAATTCAAATTTAAATTATGTGTCATATATTTAATAGTAAAAGTGTATACACTGTCAGTATATAGAAGATTAATTCAATTTTTTTTATAAGTTGATTGTGTATCGTTTCTTGTTTTATTATTCTTCCGCATCATAAAATGAAAAATACCAACCAAATTTACAAAAATTCAAAAAGAAAGTTTT